TTAATAATTTCCACAATATTAAATATGGGATATTACAAAAATATTTTTTATAAAAGATTTAAATTAAATAATTTATAGTTTAAATTACTACATAGTGAAATAATTGAAATGAATATTTTACAACTAAAACCAAAAGGTGATATTTTGTTCATTTGTAATATTTTTAGTATGACGCTATTAAATTTAATTTTATTATTGATATATTTTCTCATTTGTTTTTTAGTGAATGAAATAAATCGTTATAAGTGAACCTTTATTACAATTATATAAGCTAATTTGACAAAGCAGGATTGTAGGTTTTTTTTCTGTTTGCCACAAGTTTAAGGGATTATTTCTTCTAATTTGCTTCAATATGTAAGTTATGTATTTCATAGGTTATAAATTAAATAATTTTTTGATCAAATTTTAAATTTTAACATATTTTTTTATTTAAATAATGTCATTTTGATACTGGCATGCGGATAGCACTCGGCTTCTAAAAATTCTAGAAAAATAATTTAAAACAGACCTTTAATTGTAAAAGGAAAATACTCATTTAAGCATTGATGCTGATTACATTTCTATATATTATAGGCTGCGTAGAAAAGCATTCAGTAATTTTTTCAGTAATGTGTAAGGTAATGTTTTAAAATGCTACCCAGTGTAGTCATTTTAAATTTGAAAAATATATGGGAAGGAGATACAGAAAAATTAATACTAAATCTAAATTATATGTTTACTATGCTAAATTTAAAGGGTTGATTCTTTTATGTCTTCTCTATGGAAAACGAAAACGAAAGATTTTTCTAAGTTAATTTTGATGGTTTTCGAGTCTTGTCTTGTACTTGGATGTAAATTTTCTGGTTTCTTCTGATACTGAATATAACATTGGAGTCTTGGTGGATCAGCCATAATTAATTGATGTTAACATTAAATGTTTTAAATAATATATACTGAAATTCACTTATCATAAATTGTAAAACTTATAATACTTAGGAACAACATTATTATCTTAGAACCTATGTATGTAAATATTATATGATAATACATAGTACAAAAATATATCAGCTAGGATGTTAAATTATACTAAGATGAAATTATCTTGCAGATTTGGATTTTAATTGAAACTATACTAGAATCTCAATGATATGGTGGAACAAATTAAATATCGCTTTCTTGAATCGAATTAGATTTCTTTCATAATTCTAATTAAATGTCCACCAGAGTGCCTATTATCGTACACTGAGCCTCATCGTCATCTTTGTGTATGCTCCGTCTGCGTGTCTGTCTGTATCGCATTACCATATTTTAATAATGGTTTTTTGATGCCGTTACATCGTATGTAAGGATTCATCTTTTCCCATTGTGTTCTTCCAGTGTATTTATTATTACGGCTATATCGGGAAGCGCGCTGCGCTTCGGCCGCCTTTCAGCAATATTAAAGATATTTCCCTATATAAATTTTTATGGAACGTATCAATTTTGTTCGATGTTATTGTACGGCCGAGAAACTGTTGTGTAAAACTTAATGATATGTGATCGTGTGCAACAGCGAAAATCGCGAGATCAGATTTTTGCGGGATCGATCACGATTTGGTTGGATAACGCCATTTACCGGTTCCTTTCACTTATTGGATTATGGAGGCAAATTATGTCTAAACTTTTCTTATTTTCTTCATTCTTGTGCTTGTACTTTATTTTATTATCTTCTCATTAATAAATTATCCCATAAATACTTGATTATATTATCATTCAAATAAAACTACTATAATCTATATATAATTTCGATGAGGTTTTATATACATTTTCATCTTCAACCCGCAATTGTAATAAATGTAACCAAATATTACTATAATTGTATAAAAGATTAATTTTTCTAGATATTTAACATAAAGTGAGACCGTAATTGAGATCGATTGGCTTGTATCGTTAATAATTTATCATTAATTAATTAGTCTACAGAGTATTGTGATTTAATAGAAAAATATTAAAATTTTATTTTTTATTCATATATATCATATCTTTTACTTATAAATTGAATTAATATGAATAGATATTTATACAATTCTATATAGATATAAATATAAATATAGATAGATATAAATTTATAGATATTTTACATATCGTTTGATCTTATTATAGAAATGATCTAATCATTTCTTAATCAAATGCTCATCTCTACAAGAAATTTATGAAAACTATTATTGTAAAGAATAAAACATAATAATATATCAAATAATTTCAAATAATATATTTATAATAATTGTAATTGGTAGATCTAAAATTTTACTACTTGATTATTCTATTTACGTATTAATTAAGTATGAAAATTTAGCACTTTTTTAAACTCTTCATGCAGATTCTTTCAAGGTTCTCGCTTGAAAACAATGAAAGGTTTCATTTTTTTAAGATAAATCATTTTTGTGAACTTTAAAGCTGTCAATAATTGATGGTACATTATGTAAATCATTTTATTTTATGTGATATACTCGTAGATATTTTAAACTAATACTTTTTCTTTGTTTATTTGAACTAATACTTTTTCCATCTATGAATTTCAATATTTGCATCAAATTTGTTTATTTTTACTGATTTATAAAAAGTTTTATTAATTCATAAAAATATTTATATTTAATATAAAACTTATATTTGTTTATGATGATGATTAATCTAATTTAATCATAGTTAATAAGTTACTATTGAGTACTAAAACTAATCTTTTTGCAAGTAAATTTATTATGACGATTAAAGAACGATTAGTAAAAGTTAATACACGTAATTGAACACTTTAATAATTAAATTTAAAAAAAATACATATTTAAATTGAATCTCGATCTTAAATAAAATGTCAAAAAAAAATAAAGATATCTCATAGAAGATAATCTCTCAAATGCATTTACACCCAGCATATTGTCTTAGAAAATGTATATTATTTTGATTGGCAATAAATCTATACAAATAAATAAATAAAAAAATATTTAAATTACAAACTGTCTTATCATTAGCAGACATTCAGCAATTAATCTGAGACTTTACAAAGCTATAATGTTTTTAGAGAACTACCCATTGATAAGTTTTCTAATTTATAAAAATGTGTACTAAGTTTGATGAAATGGAATTATATAATATAATATATTTATCATCTTTGTTTGCACCTTCGATAAGCAATTTAGCAAAACCCTCGTTCATCTACTGTCTACTTGTCTACTTTCGCACAGAACCTACTTAAATCCCTACAAAGGCCTATAAATATTGATATTCAGGCAATGTAATCAACAATTGAATATTATTTTAATTGATATTTTAATAAATATTTAATTATTTATTTAACTGATGATAAAGTATATCTAATAAAAATATTTATAAATAATGTGTTGTGAATGAAAGAGTATTTATCTAATTTAATCAAAATTAATAAGCTAATGATGGTCATCAATAGCCCTTAACGAGTACTAAAGCTATTATTATTTTAATAATTTATGTGGCGACTCTTGAACAATTAGAAAACTGAAAGTATATTATACGATTAAACACATTAATAGATGCTAATATTTAAGAACTCAAGAGATTACTTTTATTTATGTTCACCATCGATAAGCAATTTAACAAAAACCCTCGTTCATCTGTCCACTTTCGCACACAATCTATTTAAATCCCTACAAATGCCTAAAAATATGTGGATGCACAGGCTATGTATTAAATATTATTTTAATTGATATTTTAATAAATATTCAATTATTTATTTAATAGATGACAAAGATATCTAAAAAAAATATTTATAAATGTGTTGTGAATGAAAAAGTATTTATTTAATTTAATCAATGTTAATGAGCTAATGATGATCATCAATAGCTCTTGGGTACATAAACTATTATTATTATTATAATAGATATGACGACTGTTGAACAATTAATATTAATTGTTATATTAATTAAATACTGAAAGTATGTTACATGATTAGACGTTAATATTTAAGAACTCAAGAGATTACTTTTATTTATGTCTATCTCCGATAAACAATTTAACAAAAACCCTCGTTCATCTGTCCACTTTCGCACACAACCTACTTAAATCCCTGCAAAGGCCATCTTCGATTTGGCAACTGCGAAGCACCCTTCGTCCTGCGTTCTCTTGCGCGTTGCCGCACGCGCACTTCTCGCATCCCTCTCGGCCGGTCTTCGGCGTAGGCGCAGGCGCTACGCTAGCGGCATCTCTCTTCGACGCCTGCGGCGAACTCCGACTGCTAACTCGGAGCTCGGAGGAATCGGCAGTACGCAGACAGATTCGGTGAACGGCGGACGGGCGCGCGCTCTCTTTGTAATGGTCGCGGTGTAATAAATAAACTATCGAAATAAAAATAAAATATAAGTACATTTGTGAATTTTATAAAAAAAAATATTGTTGTGTAAAAATTGACATCGTGGTTAAAGTGAAGTTTGAGTAAAAAAATATTTGTGAAGTAGAACTTGGAATTTTTAGTAGAATTTCAAAAGTGTATAGATAGATAGTATCCTGTTTAAAACTTGGAATTTATTTTAAAAAAAATATTTAAAAAAATTACTTCGTATAAATCATTTTATCAATTGACATTGTTTGGAGTGCGACATCAACAAACAATAAATCAAAGACCAGTTGTGCAAAATTTTATTAACTCATAAAGATTACAAGTCGCTACAGGAAAAAAAATCAAAGAGTTGCCGCATGGCTGAAAAACTTGTTTATCGCTTTATCGCAAAAACATTTAAATTTTAAATACCCCGAACTCCTATAATATTTCAACATTGTCCTTTATCTATTAAATGTATCCTACTAATTCCAAGACATTTTAGCTGTAGAGTGAAAAATTTGTGCAATAATGCTTATATTGTGATATATGGAAAAATTGAAAATAAGAATTTGAAAAATTTTATCAAACACTTTATAAGTGGTTCTAGTGATATTTTGTGTGGTATTGATATTTTTTGAAAATATTATTTTGTGATTATTTTTTGAATCAAGAAAACATAGTGATTTTACTTGTGTGCCTGTGGCTACCTGGAACTATCGGATAAATGTATTATGGGATTGATGATTCAGAAGGTCAGGAAAAAATTCTTATTGTTAGTAGAATTTGACTGTTAGGTTGCATTCCAAATTTTTCCAAATTGTAACAAATAATTTTTGTGAGATGAGATAAATCTTAAACATCTATTCATCGTTTTACACGGAAGATAGGTTCCATAAAAAACCGTGCAACTCGAAAATTTATGAAAAAACGTGCTAAACGAAAATTACTATAAAAAGCCATGTTTGTCAGTTTTTAATGCGATAAATAAAAACACGCAAAACGAAAAATTTATTTTAATATATTTATATCGAATATACTTTATTTAAAATTATTTTTAAAAATTTTATATTTAATTTTAAACATTGTAGAAATTAATTTAAATATTGTGTTACACGGAAGATATGTGTAATTAGTTCTATAACGTTATACCAACCAAACTCAATATTTATGACTTTTGTTAGACATTTCAACCTGAAATAACATTTTTATATAAAAAAGTGTGAACATATAGGCTTCTGTGACTTTAAAGTCACATAATTCATTAATACCCAAAAAATGTTTAAACATTTTTTTTGTTTTCCATTTGTAATATAAACTTATAATTTCTAATTTAAATCAATTCAATTTCTAAATAGCTCATAGAATTGTCATGTATTCTGATTGCTATTGAAAATAAAATTAAAAAAAAGAAAAAAAAAATATTTCTAATTTTTTGTTCTCCAAATTTTTTTAGATGTAAAACCAAAATTCGGCCCATGAAGAGCCTATCTAAATATTTAATAGTTCAATAATAAAACGTCAACTTATCTTAAGAAAATTTCAAAAAAAATTCAAATCTAGAAATACGAATTACCTACGTCTCAAACATAATTTCGCAAATATCTACAAAAACCATTGATTGATTGTGTTTCTACATTTAAAACCTTTTAACCTTTTCGTTAACTTTACAAAAATATTTCCTTACCGCGACCTAAAAAGTCACCGTGTCAAATAATTCCACAAAATATAAACCTTAACCTTTCACATTAAAACATTCAATCTCGTAACATTTCTTCAAATCTGATCAGTCCAAGTCGATTGTATTAATTTCACGTTCGAACTGTTTTAAGATAGCAATTTTATTAAATTCCTGTTAACAAAAGATGTAACGCAAAATATCCGTGTAATTTTGAAATTTGCAATAGGATTAGATTGTTTCGTTATTACATAATTTTAATTAATAGTTGGATATCTTTGCTTTTCTTGGCTATATAAGGTTCTTGTAGAATGTGCACATTTTAAGTGATGTTTGCAAATTGCTGAGTAAAAGATGCTGTACGTAACGTTTATAAGTTTCATCAGCAAGAGAATTATTATTCAGGTATTTAAATTTTTTTTGAGGTGTGTAATCATGAAACAGAAGTGTCAAAGTGGAAATGCAAGTGAAATGTTTGCTTTTAGAATTGTTTAAAATTAAAACTTCATTTTTTGTATGAAAAATTTAAAAAAATGGATTTTCAAAAACTTATATATTCAACCAATATAAATTAAATTATACAGAAGACTTCCGAAAACATCATTTTCAAGATTCGTTTTTTATGCAAGAAGTTAATGGCAACGAAAATATCAGAAAAATTAGATAGTCAGTAATTATATACTAGTCAGAAACATATGACTAATATGGCATTTAACGTAGTAATGAAACCTTTAACAAAAAACTAAAATATTAGAATTGTATTTTCTGAATATTTTTTTGACCAAACTATATAAAATGATTTTATATTATCTAAATATTTGCTAAATGCCCTTAACTGGGCAGTTGTAAAAATAGTAGTGAATAAAAAAAATATCTAAATATAATTCTTTATTGTTCTCAAAACTTTAAATTCCGTAAATCCTTTCGTATTTCTGTTGCACTTTTCAATATATTTTACTTAAAACTATTTTTACTCAAATTCCGGAATGTCATATAATGCACATAGCCCACATACTCGTACTTTATTCATGAAGTCGAGATTATTTGAAATGTGTACAAAATCTATTGACTGGAATTTCTTGCTAAGATTTAAGGTCGTAAAATGTTTATTTTAAATCTAATGTTTGAATATTTTTAGTTATAACAGTTTCTCCTAGGCTATTCTATTCATCTGTAAAATTAAATCTGTTAGCATTAAAAAAACATATAGGAAGTAAATGCAAGAAACCTAAATATATTAAACAAAAACAGTTGCATGACGAGTTTTTTCTGTGCTATATTGCTATAAAAATAAAAATTAATAATTAAATGATACAAACAAAATAATTTAATTGAAATAAAAATACTTGCATGCATTGGCAGGAAGCAAAGTTTTTACTGAATTTTTTTTACTGTAAGGTTTTAAATTATTTTTGGGTGTCATTTCTTTGTGCATTTATCTTATTCACTTTTGTGAAGGCTATTTTTATTACTTGCTTCAACTTGCATTTCTTTGATGAAAGTGATAAAATAATTAAAAGGATATGATTGATGAAATTTATAGAATAAACGAAACAATGTCTATTGACATGGCATCGTGCCTTAAGGCAAATTGCTGGAACTTCCCTTACCAATAATTATTATTTTTTTGAAAACGATTAACATTTTTGAAAAAAATTTACTTAAAAAATTAGATTTTTGAGAAAATATAAATTTATAGTACTAGTATATAAAAACAAAATATGTGCTCAAAAATAGACCAACGATTTAAATTACACTACTACTCAATTATCAAATTCCGGCAAGCTCAGCTTTAGTAATCAGATACCAAGAACCATTTAATTTTAGAAAGCTTTATCTAATAATAAGTTCAGATCTCTCTCGGGAACCTCAAGGTGCAAATCCTGTGTGTAAATCCCGGTACATGCTCAATCATTCATATTCTGACAAACCATAAATAGGTCCACATTAACTAAATTGACAGATACTCATATGCGAAGGGAACACACGAGCGTTCGTTGGGTCTTCTACGTCATACATATGTCACGTTATTGTGAATAATATGTTCGGGAGGGGCCACAAATCCAAAACCGAATTTACAAACTGCGATAGGCCGCAAAAACACGGCAGTAGGCCTTATGGTAAATCGATACCTATACCAGATTAGGAGTCATACACGAAAATTAGGCGAGATGTATTTTAATGAGATATTTTTGATCCCAGCACCCCAAAAAGTCATACAATTAGTTTTTTGTATTTCAAAAATTTAAGTAGATGCATTTTAATGACATATTTTAGAACTGGCTTTCTCTAAAGCCAAGCAATCATTTTTTTATTGCAAAAATTAGGCTACACGAATTTAAAAATATTTGTGAACTAGTAAACCCTATAATCATAAAATTACTTTTTTCTTCAAAAATTAGTTTAAGTGTTGTTTAAATTATTTTTAATAAGATGTTTTATAACAAGTACTTCCTAAAATCAAACAACTATTTTGTCATTGTGCAGAAATTAGGCTATATTAATTTTAATGAGATATTGTAGAACATACACTGCAATTACCTTAATAAAATTAATTTTTGTAACTAAAGTACTAATTTTTTGTGTTTTCGATGTAGGTATTCGGATAATCAATTTGTTTTGATATTAATATATCATGCTATATTTCAAAAATGTCACTCAAAATTTATTTTTAATATTTTAAATATTTTCAAATATATTTTTTTTAAAGAGAAAGTTTATTTAGTTTAGATTATTTAGTGTCGATAGGTGTCAGTACAATCAATATATTTTTGTAATTTATAGTAAACAAATATTTTACAGGTAAATTTTACCTGTGCCTAATCCTAAGAAACTTTATACCTGCCTAGAATTTAGATAAGTTTTATACCCCAAAGTTGTATTTACTTACTATATATCCAGTTAAAATATTTTAAAATAACCTGATGAATTGAAAATTGAATTTGAAAATATTAATAAATTTACAAATAATAAACTTAAATTTATAATATGAATTTTGTACCTTTCTTATAAACATTGATAGAATTTTTCGAGTTTTTTTGTTTGTTTGAGAAGATTTATTTATTCAATGAAATAAAAAAAAATTGAGTAATTCGGATTTTGTATATCTCATGATAATAATACAATTCATTATTTAAAAATGAATTTAAATATTTGAAACATTACTGATAATACAAATTAAATAAATTATGGAAAAAAATCACAAAAGCCTTATTACAATATTCCAGTTTGCAATTTATTTACAAAAAACATATTTTATTATAATATTTTATAATATTTTTGTTTTGTTCACAGTTTGCGCAGTATAATTTTAATTTTAGTGCATTTTTAATGAAAATGTAAAATATAGATTATTATTAATATATTATCACAGTTTTCGAAATGAAAATATTAAGAATAAAGGGTTAGTTAATCAATGTAACATTCAATTAAAGTCTATAATCTCTATTTGTTATACAAATGTGTATGTATATATAAATCATTTGTGCATAAATTCAACAAACGCAGGAAATTAAAATGCATACAAATGATTTAAGTGTGTATGTTGTTAAGCATCGCCATTAAATGAGATTTTATATGTAAAATAATTAAAAATCTTGGAAACTGTAATTTCTTCACTGAAATTTTTAATTATTTCTTAATTTAATTTTAAAATAAAAAAAATTATTAATAGACTTATAAAAATAAGACAAAAATAAGGCTTTAATTCATTCATTTCGCCAAAATTTTATAAAGATATCAATTGTGTGAATATGTCTAATTTAAAATACATATCAATTAATTCAAAAGAAATATTAATAGGATCCATTATAAAGGTTTTAATTTATTCATCTCGCCAAAAATTGATAAAAGTATCATAACCGTGAATCTGTTTTAATAATAATAAATTAATTAATAATTCATAACAATTAATTAATTGGAATTAAAAATTAGTTAATATTATTTCTAATTTTGTTTTGGTACAATTTATAACAAATATTAGTAGCATCCATTATATAGCCTTTAATTTATTTATAAAAGTATAATATCGTAAATTTTTCTAATTAATAATTGATAACTGTTAATTAATTGGAATTA